TACGAAATCACGGGTTTTCGAAAACATCGATAATGCAAAAAGGGAAGACTGAGGGGGAAACAAACACAACTATTAAAGGAGGGAGGGAGAGCCATCTTCATCATGACTCAAATTGAACGTAAGCAAATTACCTCCCCCCCCCAGCACTTTCCTCAAACATGCTTAAGAGAATCATGCAAGGGGCTGATTTACAGCTGTTTAGCAGTAGAACCATTGTGTGTGCACATGAAATTCTATGTGGAGTTTTCAGTACTTCTAGAACAGCAAACTGCTGGCTCTGAAATGTAAATCATATTTTACAGCAAGTTCAATGTTCAAAAAAAATTTTTCCCCTACACTCCAGGAAGTTACAGCGGCTCTTCTGGAATTGTCATTCTGATCATGAGGGCATGGAGAGTTGTATGTATGCATGTACCTATGTACTAAAAGGAAAACTTACTTCACCCTCGTTCTCTTTTTATGTATAACTCTTCGTAACTTCACACTTCGGGGCTTCTGAAAGGCTTCCATTTTGCCTTGACGCCACACTCGGTCCTCAACGTAGAAATGTTCATGACAAAATCGAGGCTTGTAATTCATTTCCCCGTTCGTTTTACCCCCCTCCCCCTTTAAATTATAACACTGTTTAGAAAATTTTAAGACAACCGTCCATTTTATGAGGAATATTTTATGAAGCCCTCCATTTAATTAATGAAAGACCACCATAACTCCTGGAAATGTCAGAGTTGGTAATTATGTTAAACAGCCTAGTTGCCATTCCCTCCCTCCCTTATCCCCCCTCCATCCCTCCCTCTCTCTCTCTCTCTCACTCACACACACACACCGTCTCGGAGAAAGAGAGAGATATACGAGATTCGAGCATTTTAAAGATTTGAAAAGAAAGTGCTGCTTTCTCCTTTGCTGCTGTTTTTGTTTTTGCGAGATGCCTTTTAGCGCTCTCGTTCTCCATCCAGATTGTTTGTTGAATGCAGCGGCTGAACTATTTTGTCTGTTGCCTGTCCCGGTCGTGCGATCTGACCTCTGGTTGACTCCTCAACCGGACCAGGCGCTCTTTGTTTTCAGAAGTCAGAATCCAGTAAACAGTGCTGCTTTCTCCTTTGCTGCTGTTTTTGTTTTTGCGAGATGCCTTTTAGCGCTCTCGTTCTCCATCCAGATTGTTTGTTGAATGCAGCGGCTGAACTATTTTGTCTGTTGCCTGTCCCGGTCGTGCGATCTGACCTCTGGTTGACTCCTCAACCGGACCAGGCGCTCTTTGTTTTCAGAAGTCAGAATCCAGTAAACAAATCTTCTCTAACTCCGAGAGCCTTCCTCCCCCCCCCCCCCCCCTTCACCGCGCCCCCCCCCCCGTCTTTACTTGCACAGGGACCACTTGATTCATCTTCACTTAATCCCTCCTCAGTTAACCTCCTTTTATTATCACCTTCTCAGGTTTTGCCCTTTAATGGATCTTTAAATAGTTTTCTTTTTCGCCTTTTTCACAGACGTTCATTAAGCCTTTGACTTCTTCTTCTTCTTTTGTAAGGTCATTCCTATCACTTCAAACCCTTATCTGTAGCATTCCTCCGCTATCTGCACACAGTTTAAAATCTGTTTTCTTCTGTTTGTTTTTCCTTATTTCGTGCCTTAAACCTTAAATACTGATGGATGAGGGTGGCCGAGGAGAAAACGCACACACGCACTTCTGCTGCGGCTGCTGTTAGTGCTATCACATCTGGTCAGTGTGCAACTTCAGCCTATAAAGTTTGCTTGTTTGTGTTGATATTTAGTGGTGTGTGATGTCATAAGGAATCCTCATACAGTATTATAAGTAAGCTTCCGCTCTGGCCCCTGGAAGGCAGAGACATTCAATGGAACTCCGGGGCAACGGCCTGGCCGTTGACACTGGTATAAGCCTTCGCAAATCAGTGTGGCTACTCTAGCGTAAATAGACAGTTGATGTGTACTCTAGAGAAGGCGTACATCATCCCTTTCTTAAACCTGACACTTCAGTCAGATTAGGCTGCAGTTCTAAACGCACATGCCTGGGAAGCAGCCCCATTTAAACCCTTCAGTAGTTACGTTCGAGTAAACATGCATCAAATCGGTCTCTACAAGATCTTTTTTTAAAGATGTGCTCTATTTTTAGAAGGCACGGGGGATGGGGGACGACAAAAAGTGTCCTTCGGCAATGGGGCATCCGCCACCTAAACTTTGGACAAGTTTCCTTCTCGTTCACCCGAAAAGGCCTGTCGAGTCGAGAGTCAGATCACAGCCTGCGAGGCACCGGGAGCAAATGGACCGATCGCTTATCATAAATTCCCTTAACACGCTTCCGAACCCCACCGAACTATATCTTTCTAAAAAGCAGTAGGGCCCTCTTGGAAGGGAAACGAAGAGATCCGTGCTTAGCCCGCTGGCTGTTTTTCAGCTCTTAGACACCGGCTCTTCCGAGATCTACTTCAGGGGGAGCACCCCGGCGCGAGTTCACTCCTTCCTCGTATACGTGGGGAGTCTGCAGCAATACAGGACATTCAGTCCCCAACTTTTGGGTTGAATGGGGTCAGAGCTGGCGGGAGGTTGGGGGCAAGAGGATCGTAGTGGCATTTCCTTAAAAAGCCAACCACTTTTCCTAGAATGTGAGTCGCTGTAGGCAGGAGCACAGAATCTATCCAGAACTGTCTCGGGTAGTTTATGGAGATAGCGTGGGACTGCCCGTTTACTTTTTCCGTTTAATAGATGATTAATTGCTGCCCCTCTTAGTCTTTTTATGGCCCAGTCTATTGCAACTCGATATGGCCGCGGTGCAATTTCTCACAATAACCCCAACAGTACAACTATTTGCTAATTGTAAAAATCCTTATCCAGAAGGACCTTTGTGCAAACAATTTGTACTACTACTGTAATTGCACTGTAAAACTGTTTTATGCTCAATGCGACTGAATTAATCTCATAAAGGCCTGGGGAGGACGCTGGGTGCAGGATTAATATCACATTTTCCTCTGTCTCAAATCCATCACTTCCCTCTACTTCAAAAAAAGATTTCGAGGATTGGAGTTGGGTTTCCATAAATATATTTCTAAATCAGGGAAATTCAGTTCTGTTAGTTCAGCCCAATACTCAGCCTTTCGCTGGGTCCAGTTAGTGACAATTAAAGGGGCTCAGTAGCCTTACCTGTCTTATTTCCAACCCCCCTCCCCCGCCGCCACTTCTGGTGCATGTTGCTGGGGCATCGCACTGCGAGAAAGAGAGTCCAAAATGATATCTTTCTGTGTGTGTGTCTGTGTGTGAAAGAAAGAGAGACAGACAGACACACACACACAGAGAGAGAGAGAATGTGTGCGTGTATTTCAGGGTTTCGAAAGTCTTAGCACACATGTGCCAAGGCGACAGACAATATTTCCTAACAAACAGCGGATTAGCTATCGCTATCATCATCATAATCATCCTTCACGTTCCTGCCTTTTCAAGCTTCTTCTGAAAGGGCTGCAGAAGATGGCTCTGCTCCTCATGTAAATTGGTGCCTTGTAGATCTGATCTTGGTATTTTTCATCCACCACTCTTTAGGCTCATAGAGCAGGCTAGCTGGCCCGGTGTCTGCCTGATTCTGTCCTTTAACCTTCTGCCCACCGACCTGATCCACTCTCTTTCTGCTCCTTTTCTGGAAGATCCGAGTTTGTGATCATCCTTTCCATCGGCCCACAGCTGTCCGTTTCAAAAAAGTATCTTGTATACCTTAAACAACATACTTTCGTAGGGGAAACCATGGGGAAAGAACCCCATTTCATTGTGCCTCTTCGCCATCATACCGTTCATTAGTTTCCCTCACACACACTTCCTATTTAAAGAAAGAGGTTTAAATCATCCTCCCCGTCCCTTAAAAGAACATATTTTATGGGGAAAATCGTAAATCGCAGCAAACAAGAGAGAGGAGGAGAGGGGAAGCTATGCTGCCGTTGCAACAGAGAACTCTCATTTAAGATTACTCTTAAGTCTTCGTCGGCGTGGGCTAAACCTTACGATTTATTTCTGATTAAATAGATTGCCAAAATACCCGAGAAGAAAGCCACAACGTTGCTCCAACGATGGATAGTGATAGTGAGTACAGAAACCCTTAAGTCCAATTCGAGGAACCAAGTGGAACTATCATAACCAAACATATACTAGTCTGGAACACTTCATGGCAACCGCCCTGCCTATAAAAGGTACGCTGTGTCCACCGCGATCATCCTACTTGCCGTTTGGAGACTCGCTGCCAAACTGCATCTTTTAAGAAAGAGATCCCTTGGTCACTTACAGCCCCAGAGAGAGAGAGATGAACTCTCTTCCCCCCCCCTTTCCCCATTTCCCATCCTTTCCTTTTTGGAAACACTCGGTGCAATGGCGCACGGGGGGGGGCGGCGGGCAGGACACTTCTTTATGCTGACAAGGGGGGGGGGAAGCATCTTAACTAAGGAAACTGACAGAAGCGAAAACGAGTTCACACAGCCCGCTTTCCAAAGCAGGCGATACAGCGGGACTTCACACATTATCCTTTTTTTAAAGAGTTAAACAATAGAAATCCTCAAACCCACCCACCCCCGTCTTTCTTTTCTCCTTGTACAAAAGGGGAGGGTGACACATTTAAAAGAAAATTCCCCTGGAGGAGTAAGTTATAGCACAGGGAACAAGTGAAGAAGACTCCTTCTGCATTGCCGAACTTCAGCTCTCGGTAGCAGACAGAAGGGACCGGGAGTGGGGGGGGGGAGAGAGGCAGATCGAAGCGCCCTGCTGATCGATTATTTGATAATTGATTTCCCCCTCCACCAATGCACGCCTCGCTCTCGCAGACGCGATCCTGATTGGGCCGCAGCTCCTCCACTGCTGCCTACTGAGATTTGGGTGAGCTCATTTTCTAACGTACGGCGGGGGGAGGCTCTTGCTCTCTCTTCGGCTGTGGGGTTTTTAAAAGCTTGGAAAGGGAAGGGAATGGAGCGGAGTGGGTGGGGGCGGGGAAAACTCGGTGTCACAGAGATCTCTGTTCTAGGGGGGAAAGATGTGGCCGTTTTGAGGCAACTCCATGTACAAACGCCTGGCTTTTGAGGACCGCAGAGACTTTAATGCAAGCGAAGCAGCCTAGACTGCATCCCTTTAATAGGGCTTTTTTTCTCCCTCTTTTCTTTCTCTCTTTCTTTCCCTTAACTTCGCTTCCCTTTGTACTGTATATGCTTACGGAAGACGGTGCTCAGCCGAAGAAAGAAAATGAGACGCTGAAAAGTCCTGCGATTTCCAAGGCGCCAGCCAGAGATTCTGGTTTCACAGCTCGAGGAGTAAATAGAAATTAATCACTGTTACTAGACAAAGGAAACGGCCACTAGCCCCGGAGGTTGCTAAACAGAGAGCGGTGAGGATCGCTGCTGGATGTGTCCTAGATGTGACACGGTGGGAGGGAGGCAGGGAGGGGGGGTGCCGGGGAATGGGGCGATTTTACACACCAAGCCGCCGCCGTGTGTGCGTGTGAGTATGTGCGTGTGCGCGTGTCTTTTCTCCAGGACAGCCCCTTGTCGTTTGATGAGTAACCAGAATAATGGCATAAAGATATACGATCGATGTCCCTGAAGTCACAGAAAGAGATTCACTGACTTGAGAGAAACAGAGCGGGAGAGATGCGGCGGCGGCGGCGGCGGCGGCGGTGGGGGAAGCGGGATGGTAGAGGAGGAAGGAAGAGCTGGAAACATTAAGCCACCAGGAGGGAGATAAACGCGCCTGTGCCCAAGAGAAACACGCACGCACACGCAAGACCCAACACAGAAAGCCCACGCTGGGGCGGCTTTCCAGAGAAGCCCCCCCCCCTCGACAGCCGCCGGCAAGAACTCGAGTAAGCCGCTTGGCTCTAGCCCTTTTCCCGGCGAAGAGAGTCGGAAAGGCGATCAAGAAAGCCACGGGGAGGAAAAGGGAGGGGAGGTGGGAAGCTTCCGACGAGCGGGGCAGAATCGCGCTCCGAGGCGCCCAGGCATTGTTCGCTCCTTTTCGCCAGCCAGCCAGCCAGCCAGCGCGCGCGCGCGAGTGTGTGTGTATGTGTGTGTGCGTGCGTGCGGTGTGTGCGTGTTTTGTTGATGGGGAAGCCTCTCCTTGCAGCTCTTCCCCGCCGCTTTCTTGCCTTGCGGCTCACCCAACCCACCCCTGCGTTGCGAGCTTAGTTGATGCAGCCCGCTGCATTGTGTAAGACGCGACCTGTTATGGCCACCACTACTTCCGGGTTCCAGCATTCTGGTCCAAATCCACCTCTCCGCCTGGGTGCAACACACACTTTACACACGCACAGGGGACTTGCAGCAGGCAGCATCGATCGTGGCTCCTTTAAGACAAACTCAGACAGCCTGTGTTTTTTTTTTCTCCCCCAACCTTCTTCCTCTAGGCTTCTCCAGTTGCACGGAGGGAAGAGAGAAAATCTGATTAGGAATTAGGACTGAATCAAGCGGAGGGCGAAAGAGGAAGGGGGAGAGCAGGAGGAAAAGAAAAAAAAGGAAGAAAGGAAGCTTTTAGCGTTCTTATGCTTTTGATGTTAACATTTGAGGTGTCCTGACCAGTTGGAAGCGCGCACACGGCGGATTCTCCTCATTCATTCACCACCTTGACAAGCTCGCCTTTGATTGACAGCTGGAGTGGCAAAAAGGCATGCGAGTTGGTAGTTGGGTTTGAGACTCACTTTTTCAACCAAAAAAACAACAACAACCCAACAACAAACCTGATCTGGTAAAAAGGATATTTGCTTTCTCCCCGCCGCTGTCTTGGAAACCAGAAAGGAAGAGTGTGAGAGACACAAGGGAGAGGAAAAAAGAAAAGAGAAGAAGGAGAGAGAGAGAGACACAGAGACAGAGACGTTTCTTCCTTTATTTTATTTTTAATGGTGAATGGTTTTGCCGCTTCTCTGAGATCCATCCGGCTGAAGACTCTGGTCGGCTCCTTTTGCTTTCTCCCCGCCGCTGTCTTGGAAACCAGAAAGGAAGAGTGTGAGAGACACAAGGGAGAGGAAAAAAGAAAAGAGAAGAAGGAGAGAGAGAGAGACACAGAGACAGAGACGTTTCTTCCTTTATTTTATTTTTAATGGTGAATGGTTTTGCCGCTTCTCTGAGATCCATCCGGCTGAAGACTCTGGTCGGCTCCTTGAGCTGCTGGCGACTTTAAAGGAT